TATGGACGATAATTCGAAGAATATGNTATATAACATTAGGTATGCTTAGTTATTAATTATGATTAGTTGGGTCCGAGATAACGCTTATTGGTCCGTACTTTTCGTGCAGGGTAAATTCCCTGATCCGACCAAATATTTTGGACGTGGGGGTGGGCCCGATGATGATGATCCATCGGATCAAAGGCCTGATGAGGCCCCAATGCCAGATGGAGGTCCGAAGAGTATGGATGAGGACCGGAGGCCGGAAGAGGTCCCTAAGACTGACGAGTATCGGACCATGGAGCATGTCCGAAGATTATGGACGATAATTCGAAGAATATGGACGAGGATCCGAAGAATATGGACGAGGATCCGATGATTATGGACGAGGTTCCATGCAACTCTTGGCTTGCCTATGATCCCGTTTCAAAACTCCACCGTTGCATGTATGGATGCTATAGTATTTTTTTATCTTGAACAGATTGCAGTCCCTCAGCTTTGTAGCTCGAAGTCTCCAGGTGCAACTAGTATCAACGCAGCGTAGTATATATAGTTCCGGTGTCGACATTTTTACTTTAAACTGAAAATTCAGCCGCATTGCAACTAAATGCATTCTCAAACTCAACTCCTTCGTATCAAATACTTCGCCCTCCTTAACATCATTTGTTGCAGAAGACTGTACTATGAGTTGCAACTTCTAAATATTGTATGGGATAGATGGCACAGGACATCACTTTTCAAGAACATAAAAAAAAACTAAACAAATGAAGTAACTTATTTCATTTCAAGAACATCAAGAAAAGCTAAATATGGGAGGGTGAACGAACAAAGAACAGTGAAGAACCAGTTGACGGAAGTAGGAGGAGCGGTGAAGAAGGATAGCCAAGCTCTTGTAGTTCTAACCCGCCATTTGAGTCCATCAAACGAAAATCCCTTGCAAAATGACTGTGGGTGAAAAATGCCCGTGAAATTAGGGCTTTTCGAACAATTTGAGGACAAAGATTTGGGGTTTTTTTTTTCAATAATGTTTTTTTTTAACTTATTTTCAAAATAATGCTAGTCTAAATAAAATCAAATAAAAATACATTTTCTCAAATTTATTCTAAAAATAATATCTTTGAAATTATTCCTACACTGGATTGTCAGATCATCACATGTGGCGCTTTCTTGGCACCACATTTTTTTTATTATTTAAATCATGTGTTGGCATGTATTTGTGGAAAGACGACTATTCGAACATTGTTTTTTAGGAAAAAAAGATATTATTATGCATTATACAATAACCTTAATTACCAAATAACTATTGGTAGTGAAACAGCTACCATATATCATATCCATCCCAGGTTTGAGTCATAGTGTCTTTTTTATTTTATATATTAGTATTTATTTATAGGTCCGAACTCCAGTTCCAATTTGAACTTGGGAATGGAAGGATATAAGAGTAGTGCTTATTTATTTATAGGTCTGAACTCCGGTTCCAATTTTATATATTATTATTTATTTATAAGTCATATTTAGCTTTTTTATTTTATATAAGGATCGACTATGCTACCGATGGTTATTTTGTAATCATAGCTTTGTATAATATATAATACATAACAATATTTCATTTTTTCCCTAAAAAAATAATATTCGGATAGTCGTCCCCACAAATGCGTGTCAACACATGATCGTCTCTTGTCTTAATTTAAAAAAAAAAAAAAATCAAACGTGGCACCAAGAAAGCGCCACGTCTGATGGTCAGAGACGATCGAGACAACGTGCTAGAATAATTTCAAAAACAATATTTTTGGAATAAATTTGAAAAAATGCATTTTTTATTTAATTTTATTTAAACTAACGTTATTTTAAAAATAAGTTTTTAAAAAAACATTATTAAAAAAAACCCCAAGATTGGGGAGGATGTAAATTTAGAAATTAAAAAAAAAATGAAGCTAAATCCCTACATTTTTATTTATTTTTTTAATAATACATTTTAACGTGTGCATAAATGTAATTTATGATTTCACTCCCTGTTAGGCCTAGACTCTACACAAAACTTAAAATATTGAAAATTTGTTAAAAGTATTTAAAGATCTATATTTCATAAATGTACAAATTATTTACGCTTTTTTAGATTTTTAAGTTTCTTATTCAAGTCACTCTATTATTTTTCTTGAGGTTGGAGATCTCTCATCCTTGTAATATTGTACTAAAAATAAATAGGAATGCTTTCCTATTACATTCATTTAGTTTTTTTTAATGGATTATTTCGTTTATATAGTGATTTATGACAAATATTTACATTTTAATTAACTAATTAAACAAATAATGAATGTTAGGGCTTTCTAATAATAAAGGTTAGGGGAAATTATGGGATTTGTTAAAATGTAATGACAAAAAGTAACGTGGTTTAGAAAATATTTTCAGAAGTATAGTAGTGAAATCGTAGTCATTTGTTGTGACTACAGTTACCACGCACCAAATGACTATGATTTCTTGCCATGATTTTAGGCGAAGTCACGGTTAATAGCTACGATTAATGTGTCACGTGGCTCCAAGCTACCAAATTGGAGCCACGTGTTGTTGATGGGTTCGCATGCAATATATGCGATTTCTACGGATTCATCCTTCCTATCCACTTTATATATGATGTGTTGGAACTTAAATAACTTTTAGTATAGTGATTTTTTACTTTGACGGACACCTACCCTATTTTTATCAATAATTTACCTACTTGACTTTATTTTGTAATTTTTTAAAAAATTTACATTACTTTGATAATTTTTTTAATTAACCTGAAATGGGATTTATTAGGATTTTTTTTTAAATAATGCTATTTTCGAAAGTATACGAAAATATGCTACTTCCCAAATAATTTTCAAAAATAATGTTTTGGAAATAGCAGGCAAGAGACGACCTATTGTGAAGTGGCAAACGCAAAGCGCCACATTAATTTTTTCTTTAAAAATAAGGTTTGGTCATCTTTTGGAGAGAGACAATAATATTCTAAGCAAAAACAAGATAACAAGTACGAACCCATGTCCTTTGACTCTCCAGGCGGTCCTTTACAGAAAAAAAACACCCATATAATTGCTCGAACCCATAAAGCGTTGTGTTATAAATATATACTTATTATTTTGTTTTTGCTTAGAATAATATTGTCTTCTCTTCAAAAGACGATCAAGCAGGATTTTTCGAGATCCCGCCAAATATGTCGTCTCTTTAAGAGACGACCAATCCTTATTTTAAAAAAAAAAAAATGAACGTGGCGCTTCAAAGCGTTTGCTATTTCACAGGTCGTCTTTGATGACTTGCTATTTCCAAAACATTATTTTTGGAAATAGTTTAGGGAGGGTTCAAAAATAGTATTATTAAAAAAAATCCGGATTGATTAGAGTAAACTAATAATTTAATTCCTCCCAACTTTTTTATTTCATATTCTTTAGTTTCTTTGCAGTTTTGATGGATCTACTGTTCTTCGGCGACTCTACTATTTTCCAGCGACTCAATTGTATTTTTTGCTCACGCTATAGTTTCTTTTAGTGCATCATAATCTTCTGTTTCTCTTACATAATTATTTTATAAAAAAAAATATGTAATTAATTAATAATTATCATATTTTTCTTAATAAGTATAACTTGTGATATAATTATCCTGTTGCGAATATATGATATATAACTTTTTGTATCTACTAAACAACTTATATATAACCCATGAAGTATATATAGTATACTTGGTTGTTTCCAAAATTTGTTGTTATAAAATGTAATAATAATGAATTCTATTTTAACAATTTTATTGATATTAATTAATAATAACCTAGTAAAACAATTAATTAGAAAGACCTCAATCCAAAAGTGTGCAATAAAATGTTACCCTGATTTTACAATAATTGTCTAATTGAATAAAATTTTAACATTAAAAATTTTGGAATTTCGATCAGTTTTGAAACTAACTCAAAATTACTTCTAATTATATCAAAATCATTCCAAACAAAACATAAAATAACTTGTATTTAAATCACTTCAACAAAAGAAATCAACTGTAATTAAATCCCTTATATATCAAATCATTCATTCTACCTCTCATTCTCAAATATGCCCTACACCCACTTTTGCACCCAAATATGCCCTACACCCACTTTTGCACCCAAACATATGGAAGCCAACCTAAACCTAACTCAATAATAATTGATACCTATCTCTTTTCTTTGAAATCTAATGTTCAAACTTCTATAAACCCAATTTGTTATCCTTAGAAAACAAGAAAAGAACATTGGAAACTAGCCAAGTATGAGGCTAACTCTATTATCCCTATTAACTAAGGGTCGTTTGGTAAAGTTCCAAATTTCTTGCTTCTCGTTTCTAATTTTCTTAAGAAATCAAATATTTTATAAGTAACTTTATTTCTTGTTTTTTTGGGAACATTCCTCACAATTGTATAGAAATTTTGAAAACAACTAAAACAAGTTTCTCTTTTCTTGTTCACATTTTCAATTTGTTCCAAAACATAAATAAAAATATTATTTTATCATAGTTGAATTCTCGAAGGTTGAAACTATGTCATATGAACGGACCCTAGAAGACTATTACGATGTTAAAAAAAAAACCTAAAAGACTTACCTTTGCGGGAAAAAAAAACTAAAAGACTATTAATGAAATTTGAATTAGAAGCCTGTTCGTTTCCACTGCCATTCTTGAGTTTCGTGTACTTTGATTTAAAGTGGGCCAGGATCCACGAGTTTCACCCATTTCACCCAATGCATGCAAATCCTTGAAGTCTTGTAAAAGTTCGAACACAGAACCTCCCACTCTATACCATATTAAGGACGATGAATAAACCACCACTCAACCCAAAAGTTTAAGTCAGATGAATTATTTTAATTGTGTATCTCAACGCTCTACTTCATCACATTCTCTCCTCCTTAAACACAAAACAAGTTGTTCAAACTTTCAAAACGGTGGAACACCCTTTGACTCGTATCCCCACTCTCAACTTTGATTGCCAATCCTTCAAATGTTGAAGGTTATGATCATGATATGGAAGTAAGATCATTTAAGCACTTCATGATCTTCAAAGTTTTATCTCAACATCGTGGCAAACATATTCAAAAACTTACTTTGGATTTACCAATGAAGTAGTATTAGTAGAGTTATTGATATGCTATGTATTAGATTTGACACAGAGATGTGTAAATTGACTTTTCTAATTTATTCTAGAAAGTACAACATTACTTAAATAGAGAATTTACAACTGAAATATATCAATAACAGGAAGCATAACTAAATAATCAATTAGTTAGCTATTTACAATAATACTCCGATACCCCATTCAAGATGGACGATATATATCAATAAGTCCCATCTTAGAAATAATAGAAGAAAAAGCAGTATAGGGTAGAGCTTTTGTGAAAACATCTGCAAGCTGAGAGTGAGAACATATGGGCATTAATTTGATGAAACCAGCAAGAATACGTTCACGAACAAAGTGACAATCTAACTTAATATGTTTAGTCCGCTCATGAAAACTCGGGTTAGATGCAATGTGGATGACGACCTGATTATCACAAAACAATAAAGTTGGCTGTTGAACAGGGATCTGCAACTCAGACAATACACTCGTAAGCCATACAACTTCACATGTTGTAACGGCCATGGCTCGATACTCAGCTTCAGCTTAAGAACGAGAAATGGTAGACTGCTTCTTAGCCTTCCAAAAATATACAAAAGCCTGTCGTCGAACGCCAAGTATCAATACAAGAACCCCAGTCAGCATCACAAAAGACATGTATTTGAAATGATGAAGAAACAGACCAGAAGATGCCACGACCAGAAGACCCTTTTAGATAACGAATTATAAACGGCGTCAAGATGAACTTTCTCAAGACGAGAAACAAACTGACTAAACTTGTTCACAGCAAAAACAATATCAGGGCGAGATACGGTCAAGTACAAAAGTTTGCCAATAAGACGACAATATAGGGAGGGATCTTAAAGAAGTTCACCATCAGTAGCAGCCTGAAGATGAAGATTCGGATCAAGAGGGATGGAAACTGGCTTACAACCAAGTAAGCCAGCATCTTCCAACATAGTCAAAGTATAATGTCACTGAGAGAGACAAATTCCATTAGAGCTTCGAGCCAGTTCAAGGCCTAGAAAATATTTCAGAAATCCCAAGTCTTTAAGCTTGAATTTGAGATTGAGAAGAGACTTAAGCTCATCAATAATGGAAGACGATGCAACAGTAACAATTATGTCGTCCACATAAACTAACAATGCCGCAAATGATGCCCCTGTCCCTTAGTAAATAAAGAGTAGTCGGCTTTGGACTGAGAAAACCCAAAAGACAAAAGGACAGACGAAAACTTTGCAAACCATTGTCTAGAGGCCTGTTTAAGTCCATAAATAGACTTTTTAAGGTGACACAGAAGACATTGCCCCGAAGAAACAATAGAAGTTGGAGGTTGATAGCGAAGAGGCAAATCCATATAAACTTCCTCAAAAAGATCGCCATGAAGAAAGGCATTATTGACATCTAACTGGACAAGAGACCACCCTTTGGAAACAGTAATGGTGAGAAGAACTTTGACCGTAACCATTTTGGCAATGGCTGAGAAAGTCTATATAAAATCGACCCCTCTTGCTGAGTAAAACCTTTCGCCACCAAACGAGCTTTATAATGCTCAATGCTCCCATCAAAACGATGCTTGACTTTTATAAATCCACTTGCATCCAATGGTATGATGCCCATAGGGAAGGGGAACAACATCCCAAGTTTTATTAAGCACCATAGCATCAAGTTCAGCTGCCATTGCAGCCCGCCAATGTGGGAAAGAAACCGCTTGATGATAGAAGTTTGGCTCATATTGAGAAGAAATTGATACTACCATAGAAAAGTGGTTGGGAGAAAGATTGGTATATGAAACATAACGATGTAAGAGATGTTTGGTAAAATAAGTTAAAGGCTGGACCCCTTGTAAAAGAGAGCAATGATAATCTTGGAGATAGGATGATGTTTTAGTTGGTCCAGAAGAACGCCTTAATGGAGCATTGGACGAAACACAAACTTGATCAACACTATCACCAATATCCATAATAGGAGATGGTACAGCAGCTGGAATATGGGATTGAGCAACCATAGTTGGGTCAACATCATTAGTTGGGTCAACATTAGTAGGTAGTAAAATGCCAGTGGTAGGGGTAGTAGCTGGTATACCATTGGGACAAGACAAATCAGGCATAAGGGTGGTAGATGCTATATGACAAGAATGGTCAATAGGCATGGAAGTAGAGATGGCTGATTCGTTATGTGATGGAACATTGCAAGGACCATTGGACATATCAATGCTGATGAGCAAAACAGTGTCTGGAAATGGATCACTTATAGGGGAAGTTGTTGCATGATCCGAAAAGGGAAAAATGGTTGACACAAAGAAACATTTGAGTTGAAGGTCATAAACGCGATATCCCTTCATTCCAAGTGGATAACCAACAAAAACAGCAGTAGATGCTCGGGGATCAAACTTATGGCGATGAGAAGTAAGTGTGGAAGCAAAGCACAGTGAACGAAACACCCTTAATGAAGCAAAATTAGGCGATTTGCCATAAAGAATATGAAATGGAGTAGTCCAAGCCAGAGATAAAGACAGTGTTTTGTTAATCAAATATATTGCAGTTAAAACGCAATCTCCCCAGAACTCCAAAGGAACATGAGACTGAAAATAAAGAGCTCGAGCCACGTTGAGGATGTGTTGATGCTTGCGCTCAACAACTGAATTCTGTTCTGGTCTCCCAACACAAGAGAACTGATGTATAACCCCTTTAGATAGGAAAAGAAATCCTTAAAAGCTAACTCAAGGGCGTTGTATGATTGAAAACTTTTGATAGATGCCCCAAATTGAGTCTTAATATATGTGAAAAACCGAGGAATTATGGACAGATCATCAGACTTATTTCTCATAAAAAATATCCAAGTAAATCTACTAAGATCATCAACCACTGTAAGGAAATACTTATGACCATTATAAGTAGACCGTGCAAATGGACCCCAGACATCAGCATGCAACAAATCAAAGGGACGAGCAACTTTGTTATTACTGGAATCAAAAGACAAGCGTTTTTGCCTAGCCAAAGGACATATCGAACAAAGATGCTGCTTACAAGTATGTGAATCAAAACACAAAGTATCACGTAATACATTCAAGCGTGTAAATGAGGGATGTTTAAAACGATTAACGATTGTGCCAAATATCAAATGTATTACTAACAGCCATAGAAGTATGAACATCATAATGTAATGAGGGAACATCACCAGTCAATGAAGAATCCTCAAGAAAATAGAGACAATTTCTCAATTTACTTCTTTCAATCATCCTCGAAGTGGACTTGTCCTGAGCAACACAAGAATTATCCGCAAACAGAATCTGTACGTCTAGAAATTCCTTGGTTAAACCACTGATCGAAATCAGGTTGTAGTGGAAAGTAGGAATATAGAAAACATTAGTGATATAAATTTCTGATGTGAGCTTAACAGTTCCATCATACTCCACTGTGAAATTGGACTTATTATGTAAACCGACAACAACCAGAGAAATCTTCGCCAAAGATTGATAAAGAGATGCTGAACAGCAAATGTGCACCGAAGCACCATAATCGAAAATCTACAATCGATTTTCAGGCAATGAATTAGGTGACGTACCTGCCATATATGAATTTGCAGAGTCATCTGAAGTGTTCTTGGAGGCATTCATCTGAGATTGAAGAAGCTGAATCAATTGTTGACACTAAGCAGCCATGTCAAAAGTGGTTTGAGAAGCAGTCATTGCCTAAGAATCAACAGGCTTCGATTGAGGAGTAGGACTTTATGAGGAAGAATTGCTTGGCTTATGTGACGAAGCAGATGAGAATGACGCTGGCCTAAAGATTTAGAGCCAGGGGGATAGCCGAGCAATTTGTATCAATGCTCAACTGTGTGACTTTTCCACAGTGAGTGCAAAAAGGGCGCTAACGATTTGTCCTTGAATTGGATTTAAAATTTGGCTTAGACACAACCTTTCCAGAGGGCGGCGATTGTTGAACAGCGAGCGCAAATGCAGGTGAAGCGGAATTCGACGATGAAGTCGTATTGATTGAGCGTTGTTGTTCTTCTTGATTAACAAGAGAAAACGCTTTATTGATGGTAGGTGGAGGTTCCATGAGTAATAGTTTAGCACGAATTTGAGCATAGGATTCATTAAATCCCATGAGGAAATTCATCAAATACTCATACGGAAGGAACTCAGCAGCAGATTTGGCACCACCGCAAGAACACTTGCAAGAACATATCGGTTGATATTAACTTAATTCGTCCCATAGCGACTTGATTTTGGTGAAATAAAAACTCACCGAATGTTGTTTAGAGCGGGTAGCCAATTCACGCTTCAATTGAAAAATACGAGGTCCATTGCTCTTCTCAAATCTTTCCTTTAGGTCGATCCAAATGTCCCAAGCAGATTCCGGAAATAGGATGCTCGTGGAAATTTCCTTGGACACCGAATTGAGGATCTAGGCAATAACAACGTGATTGTTTCGAATCCAGGCATGGAGTAAATCTCTAGAAGGAAGTAGAATGGTTCCATCAACGAAACCTAACTTGTTCTTGACAGAGAGTGCAATTATCATCGATCGACTCCACGACGTGTAATTCTCCTCAATGAGAGTTGATTCACAAGAACAAGACCTGTGTTATCAGTATGATGAAGGTAGTAGGGATTCGGAGGAGAATCATTGCAAGATGAAGGAAGAGATGTAGAAGCCGGAATTGTCTCAGAAGACAACGACGGTGTAAAAATGGGGACGTTGGAATCAGTCATGACGAACGAAGAATGGGAAGAAAGTCAAAATCGAAATATTACTTCTGATACCGTATTAGATTTGACACATAGATGTGTAAACTGACTTTTCTCATTTATTCTAGAAAGTACAAGATTACTTAAATAGAGAATTTACAACTAAAATATATCATAACATAAAGCCTAACTTAATAATCAATTAGTTAGCTATTTACAATAATACTCCAATACTATGCACAATTCAACGATGTTCGAGAACTTTGCATATCATTACCTAATATATGGGGTTTTACGATTGGAATTACTATTTATTGGCATGTTCATTGCTCACCATGTTGAAGATAGTATGTGAGTTTGTGGATGATTCGGGAGCCTTAATATTGCCATCGTTGAAAATATTAGATATTTGATTGGGGATGGAAGGAGCATCAAAATTGCAAGACGGGTGTGTTAAAAGTTTAAACTTTTGTCATAAAATACACCCTTTTAGATGGAATCCATTATTATTTTACAAATATATCCCCTTCTATATATATGTAATTAATATTTAAGGATTAAAAACTAAAATGGAAAAGTAGTCATTTATTTTTTAAATCCCACATTTTATTTAAAAAATTGATCAAATCCCTTCATCTTCTCCATTATTCTATTTTCCTTTTATGGGCAGCCGCTGCAATATAGTGTCTCTCTCAAACGGCCAGTTCTTCGTCTTCTTCATTCTTCTTCATCTAACATTCCGGCAGCCGGCAGCCATTTCCGATAGTCGGAGGTAAGCTTTGCTTTCAATATCTGTGTTTCTTTATTTAAACACCATATTCAACTTGAGCACACATGCAAGAGAGATTTTTTGCGTTTGATTTTGGGTATTTAAATATTCTACATTGGTTTTTCGATCTTCGATTTTGGGGTATTTATAACTTATCCAATTTTTGTGCGTTCGATTCTTGATTTTCGAATTGTGTTTTTCTATTTTTGTTGTGAGATTTTTGTGGGTTTTGGTTAATCGATTTTTGTGGGTTTTGTTGCAGTTGAGTGCTTTCATTCATTTGGTTAGAGAGGAATCTCAAGGTTTTCAAGGATAAGGGTTGTCTCGGGAGGAGTTTTGAAGTATTGCACACTAATGCTTTTCCATGGGTGTTGAAGTCTCCATTGTTTAAGAACTTTCTCTCTTTTTATCTCTAACAATCTTCTCCATGGTATGTAAGTTATAACCCAACATAAATAGGTTGTATATAAAGTATATTATTAGATCCCTAATAATAATTGATTTCAAAAGTAACATATTATATATGTTATATCCTATAATAAGTATATTTATATATAGCATTAACATAAAATGAAATTAATAAAAAAAACAAGAACAAAATTAATTGACATAATAAGAAATATATATACACATAAATTAAAATTAAAATATTGTACATATTAAAATAGTTTTTTAAATTTTATAATAATACATGATAGGCAAGTTATAATCTAGTATAAAGACGTATAAACAGTATTTAATTATATCACTAATAATAGTTGATTTCAAAAGTAGTATTAAACTGATGAAAGAAACATAAAAAGAATTGATTGACATTAATAAGAAATATATATATATATATATATATATATATATATATATATATAAAAACTATATTTTAAAAATAAAAATATTCAATCATACCCATATATTTTGAATATTGTATTGATGCAGTCAGAACTTAGATGCAAAATTTGTGGTGAAACGGAACTATTATTGCCGGATACTTGAGTTGCTAGACATAATTTCTCAAACAAAAGAATTAATAGTCACTGGAAGGGAAAAATATAAATTGATGAAGCATGGCATGACATGTTTCCTCGTCTCTATGAAATATTGTATATATGGGGTATTATAGTGAGTTTGATTCCTTATACTGAGTTGAGTTGGGTATATTTAAAAAAAATATATAGAAATAGTTAGAATCATTTAGTTGTAACTATTAACTAGTTTGAATTAGAATATTAACTAAGGAGATAGTTGTAAGTAATTTGACGATAATGGTAGGATATTGAAGTCTACATAGAATTTAGTTTATATCCGAATATATCTTATAACTCAAAAAGTTTAGTCGTATATAATTTATAATGTTCAAGTAGTGAATTAAGCGGAAATCCAACAGTGGGAAATTACAGAAGGAGAGAGAATGATTTAGATATTTTTGTAATTAATAATATTGGTAAATCAAAAGAATAAATTTTTTTTAAGGAGTGAATTAAGGGATTAGTGTTGAAAATTTGTATGGGGCCCACACTAATTAAAGGATTATGATAACAATTTATGGAATTAAATATTTTATATTTCAAAAAAAGAAAATAACTATAATAAATATAAATGCAATAAATTCAATAATACAAAATCTCAATTTGAAAGGTCTGCGTATCTCTCTAATTCAATTTTTAGGTATATATTTGAAAAGTCAGATAATTGGGATTGTGGGTTCAAACCTATGGTTACTTTTGAGATTATAAGCGTAAAATAAGCATTGAACCCGAGATACGGTTATGCAGTTATCTTTTGAACGTTAGCGATTAGATCGGTAACTTAGTTGTAGAGTAGTTTAAGTTCGATAGTTTGACGCTCATTATTTCACGACTAACTTCGTGAGAATCACGCGCAAAGTCTAATTGACGAACTAATCCTGACATGTCTCTTGGCAAAATTTTGACCTCCATTTGGTTTTGATTGACTCTCTTTTGAGAGAGTCCTACTATTTATGCTCCAAAGCTTGAGCATTCTAAATTGTGTGCTACTTTCGAAATAGAATTAACTTTTCCAAAAGTTGAATTACTTACCCCAAATCTCAAAAGTGTTAATTTCACTTTTCGTGATGATTTTTAAACGCCATGAAAAAGGATTTCGTGACTTTTTAAGCCGTCGCGAATTTCACTTTTCGTGATGTTTTTTAAATATCACGTAAAAAGAGATATCGTGACAGATTAAGATTTTGTGACGGTTAAAAGACGTCAAGAAAATAGATTTCGTAGCTAAAAAACTTCACGAAAGACAGATTTCGTGATGGATAAAAAACGCCATGAAATCTATTTTCCGTGACATTTTTTAAACGTCACAAAAAACAGATTTCGCGATGTTTTAAAAATGTCATAAAAAATAGATTTCGTGACAATAGGGAAACGTCACAGAAATGGATTTAGTGTTGCTAAAAGACGTCACATAATAGTTATTTAATGACATTATGTCACTAAATAATAAGGAAAAACAATCTATTTCATTGTTCATCAACATAGCGAAGACACGAATTTTATATAACAAAGTTGAACATTCATATACATATATGAACAAAGTATGATACAATTTGCAAGTACAATATTCTTTGCACATACCAAGTACAATTTAATACAAGTACAATTACAGAATGGAACATATATCTCACACACTAACTAAACAAAGAATCTCATTCATCAATTAGTTGCATTCCTAATTCTTGACTTCTTTGAGTTCATGAAATACCTAATGAGGAAAACAATACCGGAGTTCGATAAATGAATAACCAATAAATAGATAAGGGAAGAGAATCACTTATAAAAGAACAAAGTTCTATCTATTAAAGAATGCAAAGGGTCGAGAGGATAACTAGATATTCCACATTGTTAGTGTTGATGTGTGAATTTCAACCCTCCGATTCTCCTTATCGCACACACCCAACTCGATTATAAGGGAACTGATACCTGGAAAATCGAATTGATCTAAACCGGTGTGACCTTAGTCACACGGGCTCCGATACCTAAGTTAGCAAGGGGAATTGAGAAATAGTGAGTTTCAAGTATGTTACCTGCCCCATCAGGGTTAAGCTGCACTGCTACTTATAGCTATGAGAATGGTTCTAGAACCTTCTGCAGTTGAGCCCTAATTCGGAGTTGCAAGGCCAAAAGAGAATCGTCGATCAAAGGTGGGTGATTTCCAGGCTCGGCCATGGGCTGAGCCCGGCTCAACGCCGAGCAGGGGTCGGGACCAAGCCCTGCTCGGCTTGGTCTGGTTCTTTGTCGGTTGCTTCCTTAGTTCCTTTTGATCTGTTGGTCGGCCTATTGTTGATTTTTCGTTGCATAACAATTGCCCCTACTCCCAAGGCGATGCTTCCGATTTTGTCCTCATCTCCTTGGGAGTATTCTGACAAGGGTGTTGGGGCACATGATTAAAAAGCTTTATCAGGGTGTAGTCAAATCACCCCTTGGCTTTATGTATCTTGTTTGATCAATGACTTAAAGGAAATATCTTGTCGTACTAACATTTCTGTCGTGATTTGTCTTCCATGTCAGACCTGTGACTGAGGAGATCACGGGCTCCTCGGGGACCGTGTCGAGCACGTCTCGGTTTTACGGTCAAAGATCGTTGGTCCGAGCCAATTGGACTGTTCTGTCATTGTGGGACCCGAGAGGACCATAGGTGAGTTGAATTGTCCCATCCTCACGGGACACAAAAAGATCGCATGTTGATTTACCCCCTCTTTGCAAGACCGGAGACGGTCAATCATGTAGTTGTCGCATCATTTGTAAGACCTGGGACCTACAAGGTAACAGGGTGTTGGGTATCAAGCCGAGAACACCTCGATCCATTGGTTAAAGACCACTAGGTCGAGAGCTGTGGTCTTATGTTGAGGGCTATTTAAACCCCTTCACTTTCTCCATTTCCTATCATCTTCCTTGCAAGGTACACTTCTCTTTATTTGCTTTTTGGTTGTGTTTCTCTAATCTTATGACTGATCTTAATTTCGAGTGGACCTCTTCAGATGAGGGATCATCGTCGAATCCTTCGTCTGAATCTTGACCCTATCATTCGTCCTGGGTGGATAATTCCACTCTTACCGCGAGGGACCTTCGTCGCTTGCATTCAAAGTACCACATCCCGGATTCAGTTAGCCTTTGTCTTCCAAATCCGGGAGAAAGTATCGATGGATCTTTTCTCGGTGAGGTTGTATTTGACGCAGCCATGTTCCAATTTGGAGTCCGTCTACCGTTGCCTCTTTTTCTTAAAAATTTTTTAGCTTTCAATCAAGTAGCTCATTCCCAAATCGTTTCAAACGGATGGTCTACTTTGATCAGTTGCTTTATTTTGTGGTTGTACCTCAGGGGCGAGCAACCTTTAACTACCACAGATTTCATGTCGCTTTATTACCTCAAACACAGTCCCAAGGATAATTTTCACTTTTATGTTTGTTCTTGGAATCAGATTCTTGTTATGGATCCTTCCTCAGTGAAGCATTGGAAGGACGAGTGATTCCTTGTCGGTGGTGATTGGCTAGCCCGTGACGAGAGAGGACTATACTTTCCTGTCCCGGCTGAGTGTAGGGAGTTAGGTAAGTAGATTCCCGAGCTCTGTCAGGACTTTTGTAGATATCTATTATGATACTTTTCTTTCTTTGTTGACAGTTTCTCATAATTGTGAGTT